CCGGCCGGCCCGGGGGTCCGCCCGGCTGACGTCCAGGGCTTCTGGCCCTGAAGCCCCCAGAGCTTCCTCGTTGCACAGCAGGGGCAGGGAGGTGTGAGCGATGACGGAGGCGTGGTCCCAGGGCTGGGGAGGGTCACCAGGCGAGGACGGGGCCACCTTGTCTGGGAAGATGAGGGGCACCACTGGCCCCCCGCAGGCAGAACAGGCACCACTGATGTCTGGGAGGGGAGAGGACAACACAGGTGAGCCCTGAGTCCCCGTGTTGCGTGTTCCCGACTGGCATTCCCAGCGACCCCCACACCCGCCGTTTAAGCCCTGGGCAGCCCCGTGTGAGGGTGTGGGCTGCAGCCCAGAGCAGGAATCTCAGTTCCCCTTTAAAAATAGGGAAAGAGAAGCACCTCGCAGCAGCCCTCAGGGGCCAAGGAAGGAAGCCTCCGCCCACCTCAGGACCAGCTCGGGGCGAGTCCTCTGGGCACCCACGCAGCGTTAACTCAAGGGGCTTGGCAACGTGTGCAATAACTAACTAGCCTCCAGTCATCTCCTGGTCACCCCTCGCCCGTCGTGATGTGGGTGGACACAGCTCCTGCGGATATTCCAGTCAAGATGGTCTGTCCCGGACCCCTGTCTCCCGGCCTCGCTCCCATAATTGTGGTCCAGCACGCCTCATGCTGGACCCAGGTGGCAGGAGCCCCCAGAGCAAAAAGGCCAGCAGGCAGAGCTGAGTTCTGTGTTTCCCCAAAGCCCAGCTCTCCAAACAGCCCTCAGCTCGTTTCTTGTCCTTCATGCGTTGCCATCAATTCCTGGCCATTTCTAGAAGCGTGCCAAGGCTGTGCGTGGAGAAAGACAACCCACAAAATGGAGAAGAGACTTGCAAATCAGACATCTGGGGAGGGTTAGTGTCCAGAAACGGACAAAGAACCCCCACAACCGAGCGATAAAAAGACACATGACGACGTGAACCGACGTTTCTCCAAAGAAGATACACACGCGGCCAACAAGCGCGGGAAGAAGCCGACGCTCGACACCCCTAGCCGTCAGGGCCGCAGCGTACAGCTGCGCGGAGGTTCCACGTCACAGCCCCAGCACCGGTAGGGTTGAAAACAGGCGGTTACAAGCGCTGATGAGGACGCAGAGAAGCGGGAAAGTTAAGGAAGGTCCTCACACTCCACCGTCCTGACTCGTCGTCCTCCACCCCAGTCTTCCCAACTACAAAGTCAACACGCCAGGTTTCTGTCCTCCCAGAAGTGGGGGCTGGACAGTGACTGGCTGAGAGATGATGTCCAGGGAGGTTCTGGAGAGACGGCACTGGGGTTTCCGGAGAGTCCAGGACCCCCCACTCCACAGAGAAGCTTCACAACAGGCCCCTCTATGGAGAAAAAAAGTCACCTTCCTCAAGTCTCGGAGGTTCTGCCTGGCCCCAGGCATCACCGTGGAGAAAGCCCCTGTCGGGGGGCCTGTGCCGACTGCAGCGGGAGGCTGGGGCAGGGGCAGCAGTGCCAGGTGCTACTGACCGTGTGCTCCTGCCGGTACTTTAAATGCTTCCCCAGGGGATACCCGGGTTAGCTAGACTTTTAATTCATTCTGCAGCTCAGATCCATGGGGGAAGAGACTTCAAAGTTCCCCTCTGGCTTCAGGGGTTCCCTGGGGAGGCCTAAAAAGGCCCTTATTTAAGAGTGAAGAGTAGGGAAGCCCAAATCCAGCATCTCAGGTCTACCTGCGGTAACTGCTGGGCAGAAA